AAAAAATATTCACGCCTCATGACTAATTTTTTCTCATTTTCACGACTAACGGCTAATTTTTCAGCCGTTTCACGGCTCACGGTTAACCCCATTGAGACCCTCCTGTAAACGAGTGAAAGAAGGAAAAAAATGGGAGAAATGAATGAACAGATGGAAAAAGCATATATCAGCGATCGAGAAAATTGACACTGTAGTTAAAAAAGGCCGAGTGAACAATGTTCCTCTCTGAGCAGCAATTAAAATGCATCTTTTTATGATTTCAGCCGTCCAGTATTTCACGGACTGGGAGGTCAGGCAAAGATGGGACAAGACGTTTGGCGTTGTCGATATTTTAGAAAAAATTGGAAAATTCAAAGTAGTCTACTGGTATGCTCCAATTGCAAAGTTTCTTTATTAATTGTTATTTCATTTGAGTCACGTTTGAATAGTCTCCTTCACGGTTCCTAGCGCCATCTTGAAAGGTAGCCGTGCCTTTACATCGAAGCAAGACAATCGTTGAGCGTGCAATGATAGATACCTGTTAATAATTGTCTGTAGGTGTGAAAGAAGGTTTTTATAATTGCACGCTCAACGTTCGTCTCACTTCGATGCAAAGGCACGGCTACCTTTCAACATGGCGCAGGGATTCCAGGGTCGGTTCCAGCCCTCCACGGACGAGAAGAATATCTTCTCCTTGTCATTGGAAAYTATAGATAACTTTTGACTTTGCTTTCAGTTCTAACAAAATGCCCACATTCTGCAAGAACAGAGACATGGTACTAGCGTGCCTTGATCACCCTGGTCAGCAGTATCACATACAGATCATGTGCAGTATTTTACACCCAGTTGTACCGCAGAACCTCAAAACTAACAAAATTAGGTACCGACATTCAAACAATGTCCTTGCATTTCTAGGTGTTTAAAGATCTGCAATGTAAATGACATAMATCACCATTGTTAGGRGAGCAAGGATGGCCGAGCGGTTAAAACGCCGGTCTATCACCGCTGTGGTCCCGGTTCGATTCCCGKTCCGGGACTWTATGTGATTTGAGTTTGTAGGCTGGTTMTYTTCCTTGCTCCGAGGGTTTTTCTCCAGGTCCGCTGGTTTTCCTCCMTCAGTCAAAAACTAGCTGTGAGGAGTGTCGTGTGGTAAAATAATGAATGTTGAGGTAGTGAGTATGACTGAATATATAGAGGGCCGCAAGTTTATAAGTCTAGAGACTACCACCTGCTACCCTCTTAAAATAAAAATAAAAGACTTTATCAAAAGAAATAAGGCAGTTTTATGCGAAGGGGTGGAGAACACGAAGGGGTGGAGAACACGGATTTTGTGTCAACAGGAGGAGAACACGGATTTTATTCAGTGAGAGGAGAACATGGATTAATCTTTTTTGAATCGATTTATTTGCAGGGCAAACACGTCTTCATTTGGAATCATAATACGTCCAGTAGATGATGGTACCCAGTCCTCCAAAGTCACCGTCATTACACAGGTTGATCTTAAAGGCTCGGCGCCTAAGTTTATAAAGAACGGCTATTTGGAAAATAATCCCATTAAATGGATAAAGATGATGAAGAAGTATTACAAGAAGCACGGCCATGAAGAAGAGGCTGGCGCTAAGGACCAAGGGACTACTGAATCTATTAATAACAATGTCGATGACGTCATAGCATAACACCCAATCAAATAGAGARATCAGTAGATATGGAAAGGGARATTTCTACTGAMAAWTTTTAGTGAAAAAAYGTTTGCGTCGAGAATTCTTCGCWRCTATTTCCAGTCTCTTAGARAGACTGTTAAACMGAATTTCCTGTGGATCCCTMAAACATTAAAATTTGTCTCCCCGGTTCTCCCAGGCCAGAAACTGCGCCCTCCCCTAGAGCCGCTACGAAGGCTAGGTTGGCCAAGGAACCTCGGTTTCAATTGGCATTAGAAATAAATTAAGACTAATTTTATTAATTTTAAACGTCCACCGGAAATTATTGTGCATGATTGAGATACGATATTAAATGAGCTAGAGGTTTAGTTGAGTTTGAGTTGAACTTGAGTTTACATTGCGAGTTACCATCGAGTTAACGTTGAGTTAACTTTGAGTTAAATAAATTTGTAATTACATCTAGAAATATATACCTTGATAGTGTTATGGCATTTTGGATTTCCAACAACTGATAAAAAATTTGATCCGAATTCACATACATTCTCTACCGCCACATTCACATCCATTCTCTGGGACTACAGACCCTGGGGACCTCGTGGGCGGGTCGGAGTCTGCGGACCATGTCACATAATCGCGTTGTGATTTGTTAGAGAGCGGCACWGCTTTTGTCACGCGCGTCGATTGATGCAAGGGGTCGTGGAAGAGAGCAATAAACGTGTAAGACTTGCTATCACAAGTTAYAGCTTGCTTTTCTACGAGTCAGCCTTTGAAATCCCAACCCAGGTATGCTTTAGGATATCTTTTTAAATGTACAAGTAGAGAAGCCAGAGCATTTTCATTAAATTAATTATTTTTGGCTAGCTGTTTAGCACTTYGCTGCGAGAATTTTCAATATCACAAAAGCTCTGGTTATTTTTAGTCAAGGTTTGAAAAATWAGGTTTAACTTTTGAACTTTTAAGAGTATAAAATTGTTGTTTTGAATATATTTGAAAGAATACGAATGACTTTTGATTTGTGTGGATAATATACYATGCATTGAGCGCGACCGCAAAAGTACAATACTGTAAATATTTCCATGCGTGAATCATTTGTAGACTGTATAAGCTGAAAAATCGCAAAACGTTTCCGAATTCATTAATAATCTTAACGGTACTCAATAAGGAACTGTTGTCTGGGCCTCRTTTATAAACACGAGGCATCAATTTTAATCTTTGCAAATGAATAAATATGTTATGTCTCGTTTCCGACGCTCCAAATATTTCCTTCATAAGTTATACGTAGTGCTCTTGAAGTTCAACTTAAAGGAATTCGCTCTCTTATTAAACAATTCTTAATGATTAACTACTTTATTAGAGTTTCMCCGCTTGGATTTCTACTATATTAAAGTTCATTGTTGTTGATGTATTTACATTAATATTCAAATTGACAAGCGTGACTCGTGCGTGCTCTAAACCTCTCCCTTCTAGAAAGTGCATAGTTTAATTCCACAAGAAATTTATAGTGCATCTATATAAAAATTAAATTAAAACGTATGTCTATGCGTTTAGATGATCAGCGCTYTATCATAGAACAAGAAAACTATAATAGAACAACAACTCATARAGTTATCTTAGCATAATTTAATGTAAACAAATACTTTCCGCTTTCTCTTTCGCCTTTTACACAATAATTTTTTCACACAAAAAATCTTTTTTCGGTAACTTAGTTGTCTTGTCGGCGAAGGCATCAAGATTTTTTGATGGAAGATATCTTAAGAAAATTATAATGAAAAKTATATTATTGGGTGGTAAATCATAGAAAGCGTGACATCAATAACCTTGATTGACGTTAATTRGTAACGAGAAATTAACTTAAAATATTTTGGTAACATTTCTGAAATACTTTGAAATGGCTTGGTGCTTCTGTTGTTGTTAATTTGATTATTGTTTATGAATAACTATGTTGAAATATTTTCGTTTGCACATGATTGTTTTGATATAATATTACATGTACAATTGAAGGTCAAAGGGTATAAAAATACATCGAAAAATAAAGAGTAACTTGGTGGTGTTGGTGATTGCATTTCTACTAGATTAGGTTCTGTGATCATACTATGTCTTGCCTGTGCTGTTACATCAAATTAGCTCTACAAGAACAAGTCATCAACACAGGGATCCCAATTCATGCAGATGAAAATCCTTTTCTAAATCTTTTTCTAGGCACTCAAAGATGACATCATATGTGCAAGAGGAGGTTGTTATTGAAGGAGGAGAAGCCCCCCCTGATGGTTAGTAATAGCRATTATTATTTGCACTGCTACATGGCTTTCTAGGAAGGTTTCAAACCTATTTAGTTGATTGACAGCTGTCAATAATCTAATAATATGGTATATCAAAAACACATTCAATAAGCCGTTTTCCAGTTCATTGCGAACAACCGCTGTTTTAGTAGACGACAGACTCACTTGCATAGAGAACAAAGGAAAGCACGAACAAAATGTTGAGCATGCAAATATGATAGAAATCTGTGAATAATTGCCTGTAAGTGKGAAAGAAGGTTTCTATCATTACACACACAACGGTCTCGCTTCGATGCAAAGGTAGGGCGCAGGGTGCAGGGAAACGTGAAGAAGACTATTGACCAGCAAATAGTGAAGAGGATTATGGGATAGCTCAGGTATTTATGAAATACTTATCATTTAAAGGTAACATACTGTATTTTGCTTCAGGATATACGYACAAGGTCGATATCTTCACYGGTAACCAGTGGGGAGCTGGGACTGATTCAAATGTACTTTTGACCATATATGGAGAGAATGGTGACACAGGCCAACGACAGCTGGACAATGAAGGGAACAACTTTGAACGAGACTCGTAAGATTAATTAAGTTGTGTTTTTAGTTCACAGAATTCTTATAATTGTCAACTCTTGCAATAACATGTGGGCAGACCTCTATCTCTTGCCTGGATGAATCAAGGGTGACTCCAAATTGTAATCTTTTGTCCAAAAAATGGACACATAAAAGATAAACTAATAATAAAAATATAGTATGCTGATAATGCAATATATATACATTTAATTYATAGACATGACCATTTCAAGATTGTTCACCTTGGAGACAACATTGGACGAATTAAGAAGATAAAGATTGGSCATGATAATTCGGGTATTGGACCAGCGTGGTTCTTAAACAAGGTAATAACAATTTAATTATACCTTGTGTAGGAGCTCTGAACCATGTGGGATATAGGAGTCTGGTGTAGAAAGTATATTTAAGAGCATGCACAATAATATCTCCTTGGTGTGACAACATGTACTTAGACGTGTTATAGGGGCAGAAATCGTATAGGAACATGCGCAGTAATCTCTTGGTCGTTGTTTAGGTAACGGTTGAGGACGTCAAAACAAGCGAAGTATTTGAATTCCCATGTGAAGAGTGGTTTGGTGACGACAGCGGAGGGCTATTGTCACGTGACCTCGACTACTCTAACGTCACAATTAAAGAGAAATCAGAAAAAGGTGAGTATTGCCTTATTTGAATTTAAACACGATAATCTAATCAAAATAAAGGTTTAATACTGAACTTATTTTTAGTTCCCAAGTATACCATTCATATCTACACTGGCACGGAGTGGGGAGCTGGAACCGACGCTAATGTCCATGTTACCATATATGGAACAAARGGCGACTCCCAAGAATACCTWTTTGAAAACAAGGACAGCTCTACGTTCGAGAGTGGATCGTAAGTTTTACACGCGCGGCACATGATATGCTTCCTTACAGCGTCGACGAAAGTAGAAATGCTTTTAAAAGTGGCTGACAGATTTAGACATTAATTCCCTCGCCTCCCTTTGCGTTTGGTCTTCCCCAAAAAATCTTTGACGACCCAACTTTTTTGGTTGGTTCTCGTTGATCATCATGTTTTTGTCTATCTTTAGGAAGGACTCGTTCCAAGTCGAGACCAAGGAGTTCCTGGGTACTATATACAAGGTTCGAGTCGGTCATGACAACACAGGATGGGGTCCAGGATGGTTTCTTGATAAGGTGCGTGATTTTTTTTATGTGGTATTTTGTCTCGGTTTCTCTGTCCTATGACAAACAACTTGAAAGTGTATATCTTCAATTCATTTCAGATCGAAGTAGAAGACGATACCAATGGCGAGATCGTTGAGTTCCTGTGTGGGAAATGGCTGGCCACGGACTGCGATGATGGRCTCATTCGACGTGATTTGATGCGAGAAAACTTCGTGGAGGAAAAYGAGTCGACAAACGAAGGTATAATAGAACCGCCACCCCTAGCCTCCTTCGCAGGCTTCTCCATCGGAAACGGACATTTTTCTCTTCTTGGTCTTCCTGTGTTCATATTCTTGATCGARAAGAAGTGGTGTCGAGAGATTAGCCTTCCTTCCTAGTCCCCTCCCCCTCCGGCAGCTTTTTTGCCTTAACACAGGAATCCCACGGATTAGAGTTGCCTGCGAAGGAGGCTACGCCACCCCGTGATATATAACGGCCATTCATGGCCGGATTAACCTGCGCGGACTTACGGACAACCCGTATAGCATGGTAAAAAATAGGTCACTAAAAGCGAACACTCGCTTACAGTCCAATAGGTGCCCGTTATAACGAGAGTTGACTATAAATGTTTTGAATATCAAGTCGATCATAGGAATGATATTTGAATTAAATTATTGATTTGTAGAAGTCACCTACAAAGTGAACATTCACACCGGAGACGAGTTTGGRGCTGGAACCGACTCTAACATTCTCTTTACMTTATATGGAACTGCTGGAGAATCGGAACAACAAACGTTCGAGAACGAAGGATCGACAACCTTCGAAAATGGAATGTAAGCTATTTTGTCGTTTTAACATATTTGATAAAGCAATTATCACCGTAATTCCTTCCCTCAATGACGTCATCTAGGCGAGTTGCATTCTGGGGTTGACGAAAGACAAGCTAAGACAACATCGTTCTCTTTCAGGCCGTTTTGCAAATAATAAGCATACTTATATGACAGAAATGCCTTATATAATATTTATTTAGCTTTTTCCATAGCATCCTCGATTGTTACTTCTGTGAAGAAATCGTTGTTTTAAGTAACGCATCCGCCATCTTGATTTTTTAATACCATGATCTTCTTCGACAACTCCATCTGACGTCATAAGAGACCATTAAGGCTGTTGATATCACTCTATTTGTCATGCGCAGAATTGATTATCATAATCTCTTTCAGGATTGATACAGTTGAATTCAAATGYCCATATTTGGGTACTCTCACCAAAGCTCGTATCGGCCATGACAACACTGGATGGGGTCCGGCGTGGTTTTTAGACAAGGTAAATATTGTCAATGATTTCGTTATGTTATGAATGGAATATCACTGAAATTCAATGCATCCGATGCACTGATGACGGTAAGGACAGCACGGTACCGTTGACGGAATCTCTCCGGGCATCGATGTCAAAATGATGAATTGAGAGGCCTTCT